GATGCCGGTCACAGGTGCTGGCAAAACATTAGGAAACAAAACTTCAAGAACACGGCCACACCGCCCGGAAGACCCACACCAGCCATTACCATTTGGCTTTTGTTACTTTATATGATCACATGACAAAGCATAATGGAAATGCCTGTGTATTTCAGTCACAGTGAATCAAAACCAGAATGCAGGTGCTGAGGCAGATGATGGAGGTTTCAACCCAGAGTGGGAGCAGCAACGAGACAACAGGATTGGGCCATTGCAATCAACCCGTGAAACACGAGCAGCTGTACAGGCTCTTCCCAATAATTCCCCAGCCAGTGAGGACCCAGAAGAGAGTAAGTAACATTTATAAATAAATATAAATCAACTTTCCAGGCAACACAGAGACTTACTATTGATTTAGAACTGGGGTTGGCAAACCTTTTAGTTGCTAAAGAACATACTTAGTACTTTTCAGGTGATGTGGGCTGCAAAGGTGTGAGGTCATGTCCCACATGTAGGGGGAGGTGGATTTTTTTAGGTAGTTTCGGAGATATTGTTGTTTCTTTAACGGTAATATGGGACTTTGGACTTAAACTACAATTTTCATGGTTCCCATCTCAAAATAGGAGTAAGCTGTACTCTCAGTTTTCAGTAATCACAGTCAGAGAGAGCCTCAAGGGTTGTAGAAAGGAAACTTGGGCCATGGGTTACCCATCCCTCCTTTAAAATGCACTTTTCTGGCCAAATTCTGACTATTATAGAAGAAGAAAGACTTCTTACAAGACTTTAACTTTTGGCATAACACTCTTGCTGTCAGAATGTTATATTCACAAAATTCCTTATCATTATCAGTCTTAAAATGAAACTGTTAACTTCCTTCGATGAATGATAACAAGCATGTCTTGTGACTTTGCTTTATGGAATTCATCCAACGTTATGTGAATGGATTTCTTGGGGAGCTGTTGAAGCAGGTTTGTGTGGATGCCTGAAGATTTCAGGGAAATAAGGAATTTAGTCATCTTGGGCTTTCTATTCTGCTGGTGAAAAGACACCATGAAGTACAAACCTAAATATTGAAATGTCCTGCTCAAGGAACGAGAGTAAAGCAAAAATGGTTCAATTATTCATACAGCTACAAAAAGAGAGTCTTTTTGTCCCACGTGTGAGTAATCCATCTGTATTAGTCACTCCTGGAAACCATATCAGATCTTGGAGTAAATGTTGTCCCTCTCCCTGTTGGTATAAACTCTGACCTCCATGATGCTATTGTACAAGCTACAGCCTAATAGAAAGTGTGGGTTTAATTGTTAATCAAAAACTATTTTGAGTGCAGAACGATCTGTGCAGTTCTTTTCAGACTGATGGAAAATATGTTAATTTTAATGCCTTGTATCACTTGCAACTTTAGATCCAGAATTTTTTTTAATAATGAGGCATTTTGGTAGACATATCATGAGCTGCATGTTGGCAAGCACCAACAGCTCTGTCCCATTTTGTTTGCCAAGAGGACTACTATTACTTTACCTCCTTTTTAACCACTGAGGAAGAAGCTTTTTAGAATTTTTCTCTCCTCATAAGGCTTATGCTAAGTTTTGATTTTATGAAATTCATTGCTCTGGTCTTTTAAAAAAAAAGATTGTTAGTTTATATTTTCTGCATCATAATTGTATTTATTTTTAGCTCATTTGTTCATGTCTTTGTTCTGCCAAAGATGCCTAGGACCTTGAAAAAGTTGTTAGCAAATGTATTCCATGCAGCCTTCAATTTCCCTCCTCAGATGGATACTCTTTGTACAAGGGATGTGCATAATATTCCATACACATGGAAAAAAAGAAAAAGCCAAGGTTGAACATTTCCCTTTTCAGAACATATGCCGACATAGACAGTGGCAGGGAATGGAGCAAAGGAAAAGCCTTGGGGAAATTAGGTGGCAGGCAGGCTGATGAGAGATGCTGTATTGGGATACCAGCAACGGGAGGGGGGCTGGGAACATCTGGGGCAGGCAGGCAGAAGGTGCCATGCTGTGATCCTGCTCCTTACCGATTAGACCTTTGCAGTAAGGAACAGGCACATCAACTAGTACATTTGACAGTGGTAACAAATTAAGGGAGATTCAATATTAAATGTGTCCCTTGTTCCCTTACTCCTTGACCAGATGAAATCTGTTGTCTGTATTAAAATGGGAGTTTCATCTTGGAAGACACTGAGGTCTATAGTGAGTAGGTTTTACACAGAATAGGTGCTGTCAGCATAGAAGACAGGCTTCCTGTTTTGGCTGACAGTGATCCTGTCTTCCAAGCAATGCCATCAGAGATCTTTGCTCCAGTATTCATTCTGGTATTAACTGCATTACTATAATGTATGCTACCAGGCAAACATGACAAAAAGAGCTGTGAAACCTAGACTGAGATTCTCAAACAGTTATCATAGCATTCCTAGGTATGATTTGCTGCTGTTATTAGAAATCTAAATCCTAATTTCAGCATTCTGGTGAGAGTTGAAGGGGATATCTCACATAAAACCTGTTCTGTACCAGCTGTCTAAGAGCAGTGAAAGCTGGGCAGTATGGGATATATTCAATTGGTATTATTCTGAGAAGAGGTTCAGTTCTAATAAATATCACACAATTGTCCTAGAATTACAGTAGATTTGGTAGCTTTTTGTTGACGTGTATGGCTTCACTTTTCAGAATTAGTTAAGAAGGTGATGAATTTTTCTGTGTAAAGACAGATGAAGTAGATCATGTAACACCACTCAACATACAAGTCTTGGCCCATATTGCCTAGTTTACTCAACATTTCCGCTTTGGAGCTGTGGTACTTCTTTTCCTCAATCTTCCTTCTAGAGTTTAGTTTTATCAGAGGCAACAGCTGCAGTACCATTGCTCTGGACAGTTTTTTCTGGTTCTGATTGTGTAATTCTGTCCAAGGACACCAGGGCACCTCTTGCTTTCACAGGAGGGCCAGAGACCATTATTTTGATTGCCACACACTTAGGCTGATTGCTCTCCATTTCAGCAATCATGTCCAGTTTTTCCTTCCATTTTGGAGGATGATTACTCTGCATCAGTATATTTTCATGATCAGTCAAGGATATACCTTAGAATTCCAGGTTTATCACCATGACCTCTTATTTAGCAGCAACAGTGCTTGAAGATTATTGTGTTGAATGCCTCCTAATGGAAGGACTACTGGATAGGAGAATAAGAGATAAACCCATCGTTGTAACTTTAAAACTTCAGAAAACATTAAGACAATGCTTAAGCCTTTGGAATGAAAATCAAGTCTCCTTCTGTTCTCTGTTAATTGAGTGTTTTACTTGTAAGTGCTGCCAAGCTGTTCATTATCACACAAATAAAAGTAATCGTTTATTTGGTAACCTGTAAACATACGTTTAATTATAAAAATGCACTGTAATATGCCTTAAAAAACATAAGAATTTGGTAGGAGACATCGAGGCAGGTGTACACTGTTACATAAGACAAGCTATCATTTTGAGCACAAGCTGTAGAAAAACAAGTTGCTTTTCACTAGAAAGTTGTAATAAATAGCACACTGAAATGGCTTTGTATTTCATTTTATTGGCTTTAACAAAGATTAAGCTGCTTAATAACAGCATTTAAAGGGCAAAAAGATTAATATGAATCTTGTAGTATTTAGAAACATGTTAGGTGTTTTGCATAATAAGGTGGGAAAGCAATAATATGCAGGATTTGTCCAGTACAGCTACATTCTTTGGTTATGAGGAACAGCAGGGAAAGCATAGGTTGCAGTCTCTGAATTGTCTTTCCATTTGGGTTCCGTTCTCACCAGTGGTGTGCTGGAGCTGGGTCATAGCAGATTGCAAGAACCAATTGTTAAATTATCAGGAATGTTGGGAGTTGGTTGAAGCAGAGCTGAGCTATGACACCTATTGTGCAGATCATCTGTTCTGTGACTAGTGACATGGTGGCGGCAGTGGAGCTGGCAGAGCCGGTTCTTAAACATTTGTCAGCACACAACTGGTTATCACCTTATTTTAAAATATAAGATGATTCCCAGTCAGTTGTCCTCAGCAGACAATTGAATCTCAGCTTCATAAGGCAAAATATGAAAATAAGCTTTTTGCCAACACTGTGCATTCATTTGCTTCTTCCTTCACAGAATGAGCTAATAAATCAGGGACCTTTTGCTTAACTATAGTTTCTTAACTAATTCAGACTGAAACTTTACCATAGGTTGAATTCAATTTAACTCTATTTTCCAGCTTAAACAAAACAAAACTATGCTTAACTAGAAGCTTTCTAGTTTGTTTGCTTGTCCTATGAAGAGAGCAAAAGGATTTCATGCGCAGACAAAAGGCTTATTTATATCTTAGTTTACTTCCAACTTGTTGGTTCTTCAGTAATCTATTTGAAATTTGAGGGCTACAAAATATTTCTTAAGGATTGTTCAGTCTCACTTGGATACAAACATGCAGATATTTGGCACACTGCTGCAAAATAACAGAACATCTCTAATTGAGCTGGCAGCAAAAAAAGGCAAACACTTTTAGATGTTCCGTTTCTTCCTCAGTCTTAATAAATGCATTGGGGTTAATCATAAGTTTCTGCATACAATGGTTTTAATTTCACAACTAAATGGCAGGGGGCTTTTTTTTCTTTTCTTTTGCAGGGGGAGTTAAGCTTGGTTTAGGAGACTTCATTTTCTACAGCGTTCTAGTTGGCAAAGCTTCAGCAACAGCCAGTGGAGACTGGAACACAACTTTAGCCTGTTTTGTAGCCATTTTAATTGTGAGTATATTTCCCACTCCCTTTCTTGGTGATGCCACGATTAGTTAAATTGTGTAATAATGCTCTTCCATAGGAATTGTTTAAACTTGCCTTGTCAACTGGACAACTTCGGGGGGGGGGGTTGCAAGTTTTTCTGTTTTGGTTTTTTGACTATACAGCATTTCCAGCACGGACATGCAGTCGTTCCTCTCTTCCCTCTAAAACTGATAGGTGGATGATAGTTTCTGAAACTTAAATTGTGTGAAGAATTTGTATTAGGAAAGCAATCTCTGCCTTCTTAAGAGAAAGGAAAGTAAAATCCTTGTCAGCTCTGAGTAGAAAAATAAGGGGTTGTAGAAAACCTTCAGCATCTCAGAGAAAAGCTTCCATCTAGAGAGATTGCTCGTTGCTGGATTGGAATGATGCCCGGGCGTTGAAAGTGAAAGCCAGAGATCTAACTCAGAGCAGGAGGGGTGAGAGAAAGAAAGCTTTTCCTATTTCATTCTGTTAAAAAGAAAAGTCACCAGAACAGACCTGTGTGCAGTCCTTCAGGTCCTCACAATGAGGCAGAGTCGTGGAGCCTGTAACAATGCAACTGATTCTCAGAGCTGCTCATAAGCTTTTTCATATTGTCAGGTGATTATATCAGGAATTTCTTGAAAGAGGTTTTGGAATAGTGAATCTGAAAGAACTTTTGTGTCATTCGTACTATTCCGGCTTGAGATAACAATGTTTTCCTAATAAAGCTTTTTGTAGCCATAAAAAAAACAAAACAAAACTAGACACAAAATTAACATTGGTGTAGATTTGCAGGATCCAAGGGAGAGGCACAAGAGTTCCATTTGCAGATGCCATTTCTTTCAGAGAATGGACACCAGTAGGCTAAATCCTACACACTTAGAAGTATAAATTATTTTAAATAAAAATTAGAATTTCATAGAAGGAGCCTAATGTTCTGCATGGGCCAGGCTGTTATTACAGGACTGTTTGTAATTACTGAAACTGTTGCTTCTATGACGGTTCTGGATAGATTGTTCTACTCTTAGTGAAAATGTGGTTACCAACTGTCTGCTTACAGCAGAAATGTCTACAGATGAGGTAAAAGAAGTCACAGTGGTAGGTATGATTGAAACCCCCTGTCTTTTTAATATGAATTGTATGCATCACACCCACAGCTGTGCCTGCCATTTGGCACACATGCAGATGGCCCTGGCTTAAATATGGTCAAAACTAATCCTCCATTTTTATAAAATGCTTGGTGGGTTGCTCCTGATGTTTTCTGTTTAGCTGAGAGTCTTCCCCCCCCGCCCCCCAATTATCATGGATTTTTTTACAGCGAATTTAGGCATCTCTGTCTTTTTGAATGAAAAAAATATGTTTTCTACCAACTACAGACTCCTGAATCTCTCCACTTCTCAGAAAGTCAGATGGGCCCTCATATCCCTTGTAAAAGCAGGCTCTGCTATTCAGCACAGTGATAGAGATGACAGAATGGGAGTTTGGCTCAAAAATCTGCCTCATAGCGATATTCAATGGCAATTTTCCCACCTAGTATATGAACAATCCTCATTGGCACTTAGTTTATCTCTGAGGGGCACCCCAGCTAAATAGTTGTCCCTGGAAGCAGGCAAATATTTAATCGTTTGAGATAAGAGCTCTGCTATCTAACTGTGTGCTTTTCTCTCTCTCTCTTTTTATCCCCAGGGCCTGTGCCTTACTCTCTTGCTACTTGCCATTTTTAAAAAGGCCTTACCAGCTCTTCCAATTTCTATCACTTTTGGGCTAGTTTTCTATTTTGCCACAGATAATTTGGTGCAACCTTTTATGGACCAATTAGCTTTCCATCAATTTTATATCTAACACCCTTTCAGCTGACCACCTGCGGACGTTTTATTGACTTTAGCAAATATGGGAGGGAGAAACTATTTTCCTCTCATTTCCTCAAACAGCTGCTATGCTGGGCATTACTGGATTCTTCTTTGTAAAAATGGTCTCTTCACCAGTGGGTTCTCTGCAATTTGACTGCAGTTGGTTATATATCTGTAGAAAAAATGCCAGTGCTTTCACCAGCAACATAATTGCTCAGCACGGGGTTCCACCTTGCACAACTCAAGAAGGTTGAGGATCCATCCAACATTGAGCAGTATGGTGGTAAATCAAGCTGAACTGCCTGATGAGCGAGTGTGATGCCGTAACAGAAACTATCAGCGCCTGTATCCTGATGCGCTCAGAGAAGAGCAATTGGGAGGAAAGAATATTGTCTTGTTTAAGGGGGAAAAAAATCAAGCAAATAATGTCTTGCACTTTGTGTTAGGTTTTTCTTTCCAGTTCTAATTGTCATACTTGCAGAATAGCCTTTATGCTCACTTCCCAGATCAGCACAGAACACACATGTAGATTCTGCTGCCAAACATTTCTGTGAATTTGGGGTACAGTAGGCTCATCCTGGGATCCTCTGTTTAAAAAAAAAATCTAATTTCTTATTAAGCTATGTAATCTATTTCTAGATATCTCCCCTTCCCTGAAGTATCCTGAATATTCTTTCAGCCTTATAGTGAGTTTTATAATTTATTCCAATGAAGAGGTGAGAAACTAAAATCTATAAAACAGCAACAGAACATTGCAATGAAATCTTGTGGGTTTTTTTAAAAAAAACTTCCATCTTTTGTTCTGAAACATTTTTTTAATAATTCCTTGGGACTATTTTATAGAAAAGTGTATCTTTGCATGCATATTGCAATATAAAATTAAAAAGAATGATACAAACTATTAACTCTCTCCCCCCCAGACTGCAATGAAGCCATCTTGTGGGAATGAAAAATACATCTCAAACATCCACATCGACTTGTCAAATAAGTTATATAATCTAATTATTCGAATCTAGCTTGACCTCATAAGTTCATTCAGAAAATTTGGGGAGGGGGGGCAGCGGCACAGGAGAGGTAACTTAATTTTGCTGTACGTGTATTCTTTGTTCAGAATCATTTCAGAATTTTCCTAATGGGGATTTCTGTTAATGTCCCCCTTCACTCGCACACTAAAAAACAATCACCTGTCAGAAGTGGGGTGCTTCCCATGAAAACCTATTGCCTATACTGCCTTCCTTGTTCAACGCATGTTGAGAATGCCATCTGTTAGGCTGCAAAGGAAATTGGAACATGTAGCTGCCTAGCTCGTCCTAAAGCGCTGAATAACATCCAGCTGCCTGTTGCATACAGTCAGTAAAATGAAAACATTCTGTGTATACATACATAAACACACACACACACCAGATGTTTTGTTGCTATTTTGTTTGTACTGATGCTCACTTGAGCGTCTTTCTTTGGTTTGTGAAGCTGGGATTATCGATATAAGACTACCAAAGGAGACTGCCAAAACCTGGTAACTGCTGCTGAGCTTATCCAAGCACTGTTATCAGCAGTACCGGTGTGCAGTGTAACTGCTGAGAGTTTTATTCCAGAGATCATTTGAGCATGATCATCATACAGATCACTTGCTAGCCACCAAACTAAGCACTTCAGCCAGCCCTTACAGAAGCCAATAAAAGCTTTCCATGAATTTCAAAGAGCTCTTAGAAACATATTTATAATAACAGTAGGAGTCTTCACTGACTTGTTGAGCCATTTTTAGGTCCTAGTTCTTAATAAGGTGGTAAACTAGGCTTTTCCCCAACTTACTGCCTTCTCTCTGTCTTGGGATTTCTAGAATATTCCCTGGGAATTTCAATAATTGTATTTTCAACACTTCTGGAAGGCATCAGGTTGGTAGGTATCTGTCTATAGATTGCAGCAGCATAAACTGCAAACACAGGCTACTGTGATAGAATATTCCTTCGTGGAAACAATTTTTTTTACTAGAAAAGTAATTTAGGGCAAGATTGCCTCTCCTGGGCATATTCATTTAGGTGAAGGAATGGGGTATTCTGTCATACAAGTCCACACTTGTCATCTCAAGCCTTGCAGATGTAAGTTTACTATCTCTTTGAGAACTTAATCATTGTCATAAGGCTTGTAATGATTCTACAGTACCTAAATGTGAACGTGTGTCTGCTTTATCCAAAGTTATGAGGGCAGAAAGGGACAATGGTTTTTAATGAACAATCAACCTTAATATTAAATACCCCAAGTATTCCCTGTGGGTTTTGAGCATGCATCTAGGAAATGCAAACAGGTCTGAGAAGAAAAGCATGTTTGTTGCAAAATGTTAGACTGTTTGCAGTATTATTATTTACTCAAAAGCAACTCTAAATTAGTTTGGGGATATAGCAAGCATCAACTTGGTTGCAAATAATTATGAATCAATTTTAAGTTTCCTGGATGTCAGTTTAACTCTAGGCAGCAATAGCTTGAATGCATTAGACATCAGTACCTTCTGAAAAGCAGCCACACACAGTATATGACTCAGTATGCAAACACTGTGTTGATCAGGCCCATGAGAATTGCCTTAAGAATCCCTTAATACAGTGGCTTGGTACCTTCTCTTATCGTCAAATTTATTCTGATTGTTATGGGACTATTTAACAGAAGCTTGCAAGTCAAAAGATTTAAAAAGTTATAATGTGAAAGTGAATTTCTTGTACTTTTTTTTTGTCTTTTGCATTAGACTTTAGACTTTTTTGCAAACAAAAGCTAAGTTGCTATCTGTAGCAGAATTTGAAACCTGTCTTAATTTTCACTAATACTTGATATACGATCAGTGCGGTGTATTCAAACCCTAATAATTACCAAATTTCTAAGGGCTGTAGTAAGCTGAAAAAGCTGAATCTTCTTCTAGTATAAAGCACAGTTTGGATGTCTTCAGTCCACAAGGGATGTTGCAGCTAGGATTCTATCATACGCGTTGCTGATGCAGCAAGAGAAACAAATATTAGAGTACATTGGGGAAAGATTTTTAGGAAGGATAAAGGAAGACAGATCAGTTTTATTAATAAATTATTTTTGCAGTTATGCATAAAGATCATTTATGGGAAATCCATAGCACATGGATCTGTACAGAGGTGTGATTTTGTCTTGTATTACTGGTTTGCAAGTAAGAATACTGGAAATGCAATAGAATTGGATTTTTAGTCCATTTTGTTTTGTTTTGTTTTTCAGACACTGGTTTGTGCATTATCTGAAATGAATGTGAATAAGCCTTTTAAAAACACCTTTTCAATTAAGATATAATTTTGATAGGTCGTTGCTATTTTCCTTGTATTTATCAAATTATTAACAATAAATAATGCATGGACCCAACGTCTCTTTTATTCGTTGTGCTGAACACTAGTAAAACCGTTGCTGTTCCAGAGGGCTCATGTAAATTCTAAAACATTTTGTTAGTCATATAAAAACACCCCAACTCATATATATAACCATGTTCCATTTCTCCCCAGATCTCTTCATGGTAAGGAATAAACTTTTTTTTTTTTTGGAAACAGGGTATTCTATGCATGTATGTATGCTGAGATATTTGCTTTAGTTCAAGTAGATTAAAGTCATAAAACGTAGAAAATCTTTGAGATATTGCCAGTGCTGAAAATTTTACAGCCCAAAGTCAAACCTTGAGGTTCCTTAATAAACTATTTAGCCTGTTAGCACCACCTGCAGAGTTCAGTGTAATTACTGTGATTATGTTTATGTTTTTACAGAAAAATGTTAATTTAGGGAAAGAATCCTAGAATCCTTTAGTGAGGTATGAGAATATTCTTGTCACTAATACCACATTAAAGTTTATATACAGCTTAATTTTAAATCTGATGTGGTTTACGTACACAAGCTTCTTCCTTTTCTGCTAAGCTTCTATTGAAACATTTTTGCATTATTTCTGTAAGCATTCTACTCCTACAGTTGTTCTGATTGCCTGGTATTAGAAGGTAAGGTGTAGTTTTTTGTTTTATCCATTCAATTGTGTCCAATTCTCAGAGACTGCCTGGACAAGTCCCTGCAGTTTTCTTGGCATAGTTCAGAAGTGGTTTGCCCTTGCCTCCTTCCTAGGGCTGAGAGAAAGTGA